TCTCTGGTTGTTGCACATACATTCCCTTAGTAGGGTCATAACGGAGTTTGTTTGGTCAAATGAGATCATCGATAATAATCTTCAGAGATAACGTAATCGCATCAACCATTTTGTGGTTCACAAAGAGAGGCTCAACATAATATTCCAATCAGAATGCTTTTACCGTAGTTCACAGAGTGTAGTTTTCAAAGATCGGTATAACGTATCTTGATGAATTAAGACAAGTTCCCAAGGGTTTAATATTTTGATACAACAATGGAATTCAATCGTTGATCAAGTGGGATTTTGTTTTCAAGGGTGTAGTTTAACACATCAATTTTGAGTAATTCAAGGATATGAGTCACAAAATACAGAGATAACGTTTGCGAATTATCGTTACTAATCGTAGGTTTTCATCCTTCAATGTTTCACTCTTTGGCAATTACTCAAGGGGTCGTTGTCTTAGGAAATAGTCATTTTGACTTTTTTTCTCGGATTTGAACGTGTTTTAGGACAACGAATCTAACTGTTCAAGAGTCTCAATACGTCCTATCGTCAGCAGACTATAGTATTAGTGAGTACGTTCTCGTCTGCAGGTAATTTGAATCCATTTTACTGTACGTATTTTGGTTGGTGATAATTATTTTTCCTTCAATGGTCCGGTTTTAGAGACTATATATATCACGATTATGGAAAGAGTATCTCACATTCTCAAAATATGGAAGGAACTTCTCGAACACTTCCTTACACCATAAGATTTGTTGGTCTACTTGGCAGTCATTCTCTTGGTAGAAATCCAAAGTTTATGGCTACGACGGTAGATTTAGGAAGGGAATTGTTAAGACAAAAAATTAAACTTGCCTATGGAGGAGGTAGTGTTGGCCTTCAAAGAACTGTTGCTTCAACAGTCTTTACCAATGGTGGTCTCGTTAGAGGTTTCATGTAACACCCCAACCCGCGTAACCCAAACCCGAGAGACCGCGGACCGCTGTGCCACTGGATTGGTATCCGAATATAAAACATTTTCAAAACAATTTAAAACAAACATTCTATCAATACATATAAAAATCCATCGGAGTAATTTAAAATAAAGCAGAAGCCTTTTTAAAATCAAACAACTTGGGATCTTGCCCGAAAACGTAATAAGCATTAAAGTTAATTAAATAAAGCATAACTACAGATTAAAGAGACAGCCACGCCATCGTACATCTCCTCCTCAATGCCCTCTGGGATCGGCTCTAGGTTCATCTGTCTGATCACCTACGGACAGCAAAAAGGAAAACAACGCTATCCGCTCAGCATTGACGCTGAGTGGCACTCCATTGTAGCACAAGAATAAACATAATAATTCAACAATTAAGATCGTGCATATGTTTATCCTTTTGATAAAAATCAATTCAACTTTAAATTCGGTTCTTTAGACGGTTGACCAACAGTCAACTTATTTTCTTTCTTTTCAAAACGATTTAGGTGTTAAGGATTCCTCATTAGCTCTTTGACCACCGGTCAACCCAATTTAGACTTTCACGAAAGTCAAACCACTTAACATTTATTGCCTATGACGGAGATAGCCTCAATCCGTAATACCGAAGATAGCCTCAATTCGGTGGAGGTAGGATCCCTCG